AGATATAGATATAGATATAGATATAGATATAGATATAGATATAGATATAGATGTATAGATATAGATATAGCTATAGATATATAGATATAGATATAGATATAGATATAGATATAGATATAGATATAGATATAGATATAGATATAGATATAGATACAGATATAGATAGATATAGTTACGTATAGATATGCATGTAGGTAGCTACTGGTAGCTACTGATATACTCTATTGATATCTGCATGCACTAGTATATTACATATTACACGGTATATATGCATTCATATATATATATATATATATATATATATTCATATATATATATATATATATATATATATATATATATATATATATATATATATATATATATATATACGTTGAGATGCATATGCAGGACAACATATTAAATATATAATACGTCTTGGGGTACAGTAAACGGGCAGATAAAACAAAGCAACAAACAGAAAGATGTTCGATTACTGAGACAGCTATTTATTAAGCACTATATAACTTTGGTTTTATTTTGTTTTTGCTGAGATGAAAGAAGTTTCTTAGTGCCACTTCGGCGTACGTATTTTGTTTTGTTCCTACTATGAACGTAGCACTGGGGTGACACCAGAAGAGAAGTGCTGCAACAGCAGCGCCGTTTGTTGCTGCTGCTGCAGGACTGCTGCAGCAGCAACCGCTGCAAAAGAAGCGGCAGCAGCTTCAACAACAGCAGGAGAATGTGCGGCTGCTCCTGCTGCTGCTTTCTGTTGCTGCAGCAGCACCAGCGGCCGTACAGTAGTATATGATGTTATACTGCAATTTTTGTAGGATACTCTTGACTGCCTCTAAGGGCTTGAAAAACAGCAGCAGCAGCAAACCAACAGCTGCAGCAGCAACGGCCCTGCTGTCTATACACCGCAGATGCAGCAGCACCACAAGGTATTCACGATGAAACCTAAACAGTACATACAAAGAAAATATCTTCAAAAAGAGTCAAAACGACAAAACTGGGTTTAGGTTTTGCTAAACCTTCAGTACCTATGCCTCATTGGTCGCAGTGCCTGCGAGCCTCTCTGAATTTCTATGGGGGCCCCTTCAGGAGGCCCCTCCCTAGGGCTCCCCTCGCAGGGGGCCCCCTTCAGGGGCCGTGCCCGCTCCCTGGGGGCCCCCTTCAGGGTCCCTCCTCCGTGGGGGCCCCCTTTAGTTCTAAGGCTGCAGCATCTGAAGACAGCTCAATCTCTTGTGCTGCTGCTTTTGTGGTGTTTGTCACTGGTGGGCCCCCGGCCGCAGCCATCGACGATCTGTCTTCTGCTTCAAAGTGTGATGGCTCCAAGGGGGCCCCATGAGGTATCTCTGTGGGGCCCTCCTGTGGTGTTTCTGTTGGAGGGGCCCCCTTGGAAGCCCCCGTCTGATGAGTATGAGGTGCCTCTGAAACAGGTGTGGGCCCCTGAGGTGTATCTACTGGGGGCCCCTGAGGAGTACCTACGGGGTGCGCCTGTGGGGCCCGTGGGAGGGCCTCGTGGGGCCCTTCCTCTGCTAGTGGAAAGTTGGGGTCTTGCATTTCGTTGTCGATCGGCGACTCCTCATCATCAAACCCATCGAATGTCTCGCTGGGTCTTCTGAGGGTCTCGAGAGCCTCAGACAAATGTGGATCAACTTCTGCTGCTGCTGCTGCTGTTGCTGCTGCTGTTGCTGGGGTTGGAAGTGCTGTTGCAGCATCAGACGGCGGAGCAGCAGCAGCAGGATCCTGGGTGACCCTCGGGGGGGCCCCCCGGACCCTGAAGTACGCAGCTAGTGCACTCTTCAGCAGGCATGAGCCCTCATCCTCCTGCAGGGGGGCCCCCTGGGCCCCCAGCCTTACGCAGTCCTCAGCAAATGGTACGGAGGGGCCCTCTACTGCAGGCAACTCAAACACCCACCGGGCCTTCAGCGGCCCCGCTGGGGGGGCCCCAACAGCCCCCAGGGTCCCCCCATTCCCCCCCTCTTTCGCTGCTATAGACGGAGTGGCAACCAAATCAAACTGCACACTGTGTTCTGCTCCTGAGCAGCAAACATCACATGCAGACACACAAACTGCGTTCTAAGGGGCCCCTTCAGATGGGGCCCCCTTGAATGGGGGCCCCGTAAGAGACATGGAGGGAAGTGGATACGGCCCCCCCTCAACCCGAGCCCTTTTTTTCTACTCTTCCGGCAGACTCTGAAATTATCTACTATCAAATGAGACCCCTAGGAGGCATTGGGGGGATCCCAAAAGGGTACATAAGGGCCCAAGATGCGGTTTGGTTGCCCATTTCATGAGGGGCCCCCTAAAACAGGGTCAATGGGTCGCTAACAAAGTGCTAAGGGGCCCCTAAAACAGGGTTGGGGGGGCCCTAGAAGACGGATAGGCAGCCCCTCAGCCTCACCATATCGGCGCTCTAAGACTTGCTGAATGAGGCGCCTGACCTCCTCTATGTCTGCGTCCCAAGAAACCACCGCCTGCACACAAACCCTAAACCCTAAACCCTAAGCCTTAAATCCTAAACCCCTAATCTACTAGAGGGGCCTCCATGGAATCCCCTTGATCACCGCTGTTGGCGTCTTCTTTGGGGGCCCCTCTGGCTTTTTTTGTCTTCGAGGGCCCCAAGTTTCTTACTGCTGAACCCCGAACCCTAAACCCTAAACCCCACACCCTAAACTGTAGACCCTAGAGCACATACCTCAGCAGCAACTTCTAGTTCAAACTCAGGGCCCCCAGCATGAGGCCTCAAGGGACTCTTGGGGCCCCCCCTTCTCCCCTCCAGGGGTCCCCAACTCTGCAGCCGCAACGGCGAACCGTCCGCGGGGCCCCTGCCTTGCTGCGACTGTGAAGGGCCCCTGAAGGCAAACCCCAAACCCTAAAGGGTAAACCGTAGTAAACCCTAAATCCTAGACAAGAGATCCTAGAGCCCCACCCAAGGTGCTGATCCCTTAACCCTAAACCCTAAACCCTAAAGTCCACGCCCGAAGCATCGAACACCGACTAAATCGTAAACCCTAAACCCTATCCCCTCATCCCCCCTAAACCCGAGACCCTAAACCCTACTTGAATGCCTCCTGGCTGGCAGAGAGCAGCAGCTGTCCTGCAGCAGCTTGTGAAGTCCTTAAAGGAGACAAATGCGCCTGAGACCCTCGAAGAGACAGAGGCTTGGAAGGAGAGCCGCTGAGGCCCCGACCCACCAGCGACAGCTGGCTGCGGGGGCCCTCTGCAGCGAAAACAGCAGCAGCAACAACAGATGCACATAAAGCCCCTATGGGACCTGTTCAAGCTGCTAGGAGGAATCTGCTGAGACGGAAATGCAGCAACGCTCTCCAGGCGCTAGGGTTTAGGGTTTAGGGTTTAGGGTTTGGGGGTGGGCGGCCGCACCTCCTCCCCGAAGGTCAACGACAGGTCTCAGCAGCGGGCTTCCGGGGTTCTGCGCAGCAGAAGCAACACATAATTGATATGCAGCAGGTGGCTGCAGCAGGCAGCTGCTGCAGGCGGCTACAGCAGCACAAGGAATAACTGCTCACTTAGCAGAAGAAGCAGCGGGGACTCAAACCAGCAGCAGCACAAGAGCCAACACTAAGAGCAGCAGCAACAGCAAAACAGCCAGCAGAAGCAACAGCAGCAGCAGCAGCACGTACGACAAGGTCTTGTGTTTTTTGCGGCCCTTGGATCTCTCGCACTTCAACGAGCTGCAACAAAACCAGCTTCCCTTCTGCTGCTGGAGACGTTGCTTCTGCTGTTTCTGTCTCCATGCTGCTGCTGCTGCTGCTGCTGCTGTTGCTGTTGCTGCTGCCATTATTGTTGTTGTTGCTGGGTTGGGGCTGCCGAAGCTCTGTAGAAGAAACGAAAGGACTGCTGCGCTGCGATGTCTGCGCATCAAACCAAATTTCTGTGTCATTGTCCTCTACCTGCTGCTGCTCCTGATCTTGCTGCTGCTGCTGGTGGTCTTCTTGTTGTTGCTGCTGATGCTCCTCTATGCGACGCTGCAGCTCTTCTTCTTGCTGCTGTTTTTGTTGTTGCTGCTGTTGTTGTTGCTGCTGGTCTCCGCCTGCAGCTCTAACGAACGGCTTCATAAAGGAACGCAACAGCGATACCACAGCTCCACCGCTGTGGGTGTCCTGTTGCTGCTGCTGCTGTTGCTGTTGCTGCTGCTGTTGCTTCTGCACTTCTTCCTGCTGCACTTCTTGCTGCTGCTGTTGCTGCTTCTGCTGCTTCTCCATAAACAGGACTTCCAGTTGAAGGCCGCACTCGTGCGGGGGTAACTCCGTCGATTCTGAATACAGCGCAGCACAAGACCCTAAACCCTAAACCCTAAACCCTAAACCCCGACCCTGATTCTGTTTAAACACCCCCGCTCGTCTGGCTCGCACACTATTCTCTTCCTGTTGCTGCTGCTGTTGCTTCTGTCGCCGTCATTGCTGCTGCTGCCGTCATTGCTGCTGCTGCTTCGAAGGGTTTGCAACTCACTGGAGAGGCTGATGCGGTCCCCGTGCTGAAGAAGACGGCCGCAGCTGTCCCTGCAGCAAACCCCAGGCAAAACAAACAACACCCGTATGTATGTAAGTCTGGATCTGCGTAGTATTATACATATATATATATATATATATATATATATATATATATATATATATATATATATATATATATATATATTTATACCACACATAATATACACAATCTATCGAGTGTACGAAGTGTATATGTACTATACGACATATTTATATATACATGTACACAAACATCTTCACTTCTGACGATGCAGGGCTGAAAGCGCCTCTTGTCATCATATAAACTCAGCAGCAGCAGCAACGGTAGCAGCAACGACAGTAACAGCGGCAGCAGCAAGAGTAGCAGCAGCAGTAGCAGTAACTGTATAGTTCCCTGAAGGCCCCTTGTCCTGAAGGAGTATAAGGGAATCTGCTTCCTAGGGGCCCCCAAGGCCATATTTATTTGTTGCGTACCCTGCATACGTCAGCAGCAGACGGGGGGGGCCCCCAGGGCCCCCCTCGGCCTCTTGTGCTGTTAAAGAAGCTTCACGGGGGTCCCCACACTGCCTGCACAGACAGAAGGAAGGGGCAACAGAAGCAGGTATAAACAGGAGCAGCACCAGAATTCCAGCAGCAGCAGAAGCAGTAACACCCGCACCGAGGCCACTAGCAGCAACAGCGCTCATAAGCAACAGCAGCAGCAACAGCAGTAGCAACATGGGCACCGGGAGCAGCAGCAGCAGCAACTGAGAGTAGCAGCAGCAACCTACGAGCAATGCAGGGGAAAAGGGCCCCTCCAGTTTGGCCCCCCCAAGCAAATCGTCTCTCCAGCCCTGATTGCGCAGCAACCCTCTCCCGCTGCTGCTACTTCTGCTGGTGCTGCTGCTGTTTGGGTTTCTGTCGTTGCTGCTGCAGCTGCAGCAAGCCGCAGCAGCGCCACGACTCCCTCTGTGCCCTCAAGGGGGCCCTTCCCCTCCTTAGGTGCGGATTCCACCTCCGGCAGCAAATCTACATCACAAGCATCAGCTGCTGCAGTAGCAGCAGCAGCAGCTGCGGGCTCCTGGTCTTCGCACCCCTGCTCCTGCTGCTGCTGATGCTGCTGTTGCTGTTGCTGCGGCGGTTGCTGCTGCTGGTGCTGGTGTTTGCTTATCGGAGACGCCTCTGCTAGCTGCAGCAGCGACGGCGTTCTGCGTATAAGTCCCGAGGCCTCTCTGATTGGCGAAGAAGAGACATTGAGGCCAGCAATAAGGCCCCCACTGACAAGTGCTGCTGCTGCTGCACTGCTGCTGCTGCTGCTGCTACCGCTGCCTGCTGCTGCTGGCAGCGACAAAGGCTGCTGCTGCAACAGAGAGAGCTTGTCTGAGACAGACCGCTGCAGCAGCGGACTTAAACCCTTCTTACGGGGGGCCCCCTTGCGGCTGGAGGCCCCCTTTGAATCGTCATCATACTCGGAGTCGCTGCTGCTGCTGCTGCTGCTGCTGCTGCTCGGTTCGTGGCTGCTGCTGCTGCTTTGGGGGCTGTCATCTGCTTTAGAGGCACCTTGGCGCAAAGGCGTGCACGCACGGATTTTGCTGCCGCCCTGCTGCTGCTGCTGCTGCTGCTGCTGCTCTGCTGCAGCGCTGGGCGCCCTGCTGCTGCTGCTTTGGGGAGGTTTCCTTCGGCGGCTACTTGTGCTTCTGTTTGCTGCTGAGGGGCCCCCTGGAGAGGGCATCGGGGCCCCATTCGCCCCTCTTTGCTGCTTTATCTTCCTTGAGCTTGCAGCAGAAGGTACAGCAGCAGCAGCAGGGGCCCCCCAAGGTGGTGAAGCCTTATGGTCTACCTCCATCTCGGCTGAGCTGCTGCTGCAGCTGCTGCTGCTGCTCTGAGGTGAGATGCAGCTGCGAGTACCTCTGCTTCGCGCTGTACCTCTGCTGCTTCCTGCAGCAGGAGAAAGCAGCGTCTGCCCACGAGCCTTCCGCTGCTGCTGCTGAGTCTCCTTAGGTGAACTTGCAGTTCCAGCAGGAGCAACTGCAGCGCCGTTGAGCGCCCCGAGGCTGCTGTTGTCGCTGTCGTTGCTGATTCCGAGACTCCTGCTGTCGTTGCTGCTGCTTTTGCTGCTGCTGGTGTTGTTGCTGCTGCTGCTGCAGGATTGAGCTGCAGCAAGGGGCCTCACGTGGGTCCCCCCAGCTCTAGAGCCTCTCGTGAGGCCCCTTCGGGGCCCCCCCTCTACCAACTTCGTTCCTTCTGGGGGGCCCCCTGAGGGGGGCGAACCCCTGCCGCTGCAGCTGCTGCTGCTCACGCCGCTGCTGCTACGGAGCAGGGGCCCCCTGCGGCTGCTCTGCGCCATGGGGGAGGGCCCCCGAGGCAGGGGAGATATGGCCGAGCCCCGTCCCGCCATGGGCTGCTGCTGCTGCTGCTTTTGCTGCAGCTGCTGCTGCCAGCGGTGTCTTGCCGCTTTGATGCGGCTGAACGGAGGCAAATTGTTTAAGTACAAAAAATAAAGATGTAAATAATGGCCAGGATTTTGGGTTTAGGGTTTTAGGCCGGAGATTTTCGGCCTAGGGTTTAGGGTTTAGGGTTTAGGGTGGAGGTGATGGGGTCACGCCTCCACTACGGCGGCTAGGCAGCTCAACCTCCAGTTAAGGGTTTAGGATGAAGGGTTTAAGGTTCAGTGCTTGGGCTTGTAATTATGGTTTAGGATTTATAATTCAAACTCTTAGCAAGTCAAAAAGCGTGTGTACTGCCGCAGCTACAGCAGCAGCCGCAGCAGCAACTGCAGCAGCAACCATGGCAGCAGTGGCAGCAGCAGCAGCAGCAGCAAACAAAAGCCTCTGATCGCGGCGGCTGCGCATGCAAGCCGGAAGGAGAAATGGAATTAAAGAACAATCGAAGGAGTGTTCAACCAGGGTTTAGGGTTTAGGGTTTAGGGTTTGGGGTTTAGGGTTTAGGGTTTAAGGTCTAGGATTTATGGTTTAGTCTTGTAGCTCTCTTCCGCGGCTCGAGCCTGTTGATGGGCGCCTCCTTGGCAGCCTCTCCAAGAACAGCAAACAGCAGCCGCAACAGCAACAGCAGCAGCAGTCGCATTGGCAGCTGCAACAACAGCAGCAGCAGGATCTTCAGGTAGGGGGGCTGCAAGAGGAGCGCCAGCAGCAGCGGCAGACTTTGCCGCAGCAGCAGCAAGGGAGCCCCAGCACCGGCAGTAATCAAAACAACAACAGCAACAGCAGCAGGGCGAGGAGGGGAGGCCGTCCCAGTTGGTTTGTTAAGAGCAGTTGACACCTGCCTTCGTGAGATCAGCAACAGCAGCAGCAGCACACGCGGTAGCAGCAGTAGCAAATGCAGCAGCAGCAGCAGCAGATGCGGCGGCAGCAGCAGCACATGCGGCAGCAGCAGGCGCAGCAGAGGCGGCGGCTACTGTTTACCTACACCCCGTAACACTGCAGCAGCAGCAGCAGCAGCAGCAGGGTCTTACGGGTGCTGAGCCGCAGCATCAGCATCAGGCGTAGTATCAGGTGCAGCAACAACATCAGCAGCATCACCACCACCACCACCACCATCACCACAACTGTCAGCATCACCATCAGCAGCATCACCACCACCACCACCACCAACACCGTAACCCCCCCCTCTATCTACGATGTCTGAGGTGTACGTACACGAGCCGCAGCCGACGGCTCGTGTGGTGATGGAAACGTCGATGGGTCCGCTAGATATCGACTTATGGGCTCGAGAGGCACCGCGTACGGTGCGTAGTTTCTTACAGTTGTCTATGGATGGCTATTATAATAATACAATTTTTCATAGACTTATACCCGGGTTTATTATACAGGGGGGAGACCCAACAGGTACAGGTGCAGGGGGGAGTAGCATATACGACACAGAAGAAACAAAAGAAAAAGAAACAGAAACAAATTCAAAAGGAATACAAGAAGAAGAAAGAGGAACGGGTGGGGCCAAAGGAGACGATGATACGGAGGAGGCCCCTAAGAAGGGGCGCACTAAAGGGGGGGCCCTTGCCCCTCTTGGAGGCCCCCCTAAGGGTACATCGGCCGGGTCCCCTGGTGTTGGTGAGGGGCCCCTGGGTTTGGAGTTGAATTCGCGTTTGCGGTTTCGTTATAGGGGGTTGATGGGTGCAGCAACTTTAGAGGGTTCAGGGGGCCCCCCTCGTGTCGGCAGTCAATTCTTTTTTACCTTAGGGCGAGCAGAAAGTCTTAACGGTAGATACACCCTGATGGGGAGGGTGGGGGGCCCCTCTTTATTTAATTTGCTTAGGATGGGGGAGCTNACGGTAGATACACCCTGATGGGGAGGGTGGGGGGCCCCTCTTTATTTAATTTGCTTAGGATGGGGGAGCTACCTGTTGATTCAGCTGATAGGCCCGTGGACCCCCCAAGGGTTATCCGCATAGAGGTGCTGAGAAACCCCTTTCAGGACATGGTCCCCAGGGTGCTGCAGCAGCAGGAAGAGGAAGAGGGAGAGGAAGAGGAGCAGGCGGAGGAGGAGAAGAGGCCGCAGCTTGCGGTCGCCAAGGCGGCGCTTTTGTCTTTTGCAGAGGAAGATGAAGACCTACAGCTGCAGCAGCAGCAGCAGCAGAAGCAGCAGCAGCAGCAGAAGGGGCCCCTCAGTGCCCACGATTTGCTGCAGGACCCCAGACTCTCGAAAGAGGCCCCCGTGGAATCTTATCAGCAGCAGCAGCAAGCAGAAGCACAACGCCTTAAGGACCGCATCGCCTCTCTTATTGCGGGGAGTAAGGGGGGTGCAGCACCAGCTGCTGCTGCCGACGAGATATACGATAGCGGCAGCAGCAGCAGTAGGAGCAGCAGTAGGAGCAGCAGCAGGGGCAGCAGCAGGAGGAGTAGGAGCAGGAGCGGTAGCCGCAGCAGAGGCAGCAGCAGCAGCAGCAGCACCATGGCCGTGCGTAAGGGGCTCCCTCTTCCCCCCACACGCAAAGATATTGCTGCTGCTGCTGCTGCACTCCCTGATTCAAATCTGCTGACTGCTGCAGAGCAGCGGCGGCGGCTGCTACTGCTGCAGCGGCAGTCGCGCAGCTCACAGCTGCGGCAAGCAGACACCCTCGAGAAGCTCAAGGCCTTCAGACAGCAGGTAAAACCCTAAACTTTAAATACCAGAGAGAGTAAACCCTAGTAAACATAATAATCCCCTAATAGGCAATCATAAACAATACAAAACCCTAATTATAGTAAACCCGAACAATAGAAAACCCTACTAAACCCTAGTAAGAGTAAACCCTAATAAACCCTCCTTTTCTTATTTGTCTGTTTTTACTTGCGCAGCTGCAAACGATGCAAAAATCCACAGGAAAGAGCCTCAAACGCAGCAGCGACAACAAAAACAGCAGCAGCAAGGAGAAGAAGCACGATAAGGCTGTGGAGGCGGCGAAGGCCGCAGCAGAGCGGNCAAAAACAGCAGCAGCAAGGAGAAGAAGCACGATAAGGCTGTGGAGGCGGCGAAGGCCGCAGCAGAGCGGGCTATGGAGCCGGTGTATGCGAGGGAGAAAGCACTGCAAGAAGAAGCAGCAGCAGCAGCAGAAGCAACAGGAGAAGCAGCAGGAGAAGCAGAAGAAGAAGCAGCAGACTGGTGGCAGACTGGGGGCCTCTCCTTCGCCATAGACAGCAGCACAGCCTACAGATTAGATGCAGCCAGAGATAACCTAACTGTCAGCGACCCGCTGCGCAGCAGCGGCAAAAAATTCCTCCAGGACCCGAAGCAAAAACTCAGAGAAAAAGCAGCTCCTTATGACGCACAGGGACCCAGAGAACTCAAACCCTGGTGATAGCTATTGCCACTGCTGTATCTGTGTTGCTGTTGCTGCTGATGCTCTTAGCAGCAGATTAAGCAGAGCCGCTGCTGCAGCTGCTGCAGCTGCTGCAGCAGGGGGACGGGCGGCGGCTGGTGGGGGTCGGGGGTNAGAGCCGCTGCTGCAGCTGCTGCAGCTGCTGCAGCAGGGGGACGGGCGGCGGCTGGTGGGGGTCGGGGGTCCCACGCTGCTCTTGCGCGTGCTTTTGCTGCCGAAAATACTGCAGCTGTTGCTGTGCTGCAACAACTGCTGCAACAGCAGCAATAGCTGCACCTTTCTGCCTAGAGGACAGGCACCCTTTCGTTATGCCCCACCACAGTAGCAGCAGCAGCAGCAGCGGCAGCAACGAGAAGCAGTAGCAACTTAAGGAGCAACAGCGACGGCAGCACTGTAGCCCGGGCTTACGGCTGCTGCAGCAGTCGTAGCAGGAGCTACAAGAGCAGAAGCTGCAGCATCTGCAACAGCAGCAGCTGCAGCAGCACTAGCTGCTGCTGCATTGTGTTTGTTTCACCTTGAATTTGTTGAAAGACTGAAACGGACTTTAAGTTGTAAATATACTTCAGCAGCTAATGCCGAAGCAACAGCAGCAGCAGCAGCAGCTGCTGCCGCTGCTGCAGTGTACAAGCAAGCTTATGCAGTTCGCTCAAACATGTAAGGCGTCTGTCGTTGCTGCTTCACCAGCAGGAGCAGCAGCAGGTGCTGCAGCTGCAGCAGGTACTGCAGCAGGAGCAGCAGCACCAGTTGACTCTGGTCCTCCTACCTCAGCGCTTGGTTGCTGCCCTTCTTCCTGCTGCTGTTGCTGCTGCTGTTGTTGCTCATGCAGCTGCTGGTGCAACTCCTGCTGCAGTGGCTCTTGCTGCTGCTGCTNTGCTGCTGCTGTTGTTGCTCATGCAGCTGCTGGTGCAACTCCTGCTGCAGTGGCTCTTGCTGCTGCTGCTGTTGCTGCTGTTGCTGTTGCTGCTGTTGCTGTGATTCGTTTTCGGCACTGAGGACCTGTTGGCAGTCAGCCTGCTGCAGCAACAGCAGTTGCTGCTGCAGTAGCTGTTGCTGCAGCAACTGCTGCTGCAACAGCTGCTGCTGCAGCTGCTCTGTGAGCTGCTGCTGCTGCTGCTGCTGCTGCGGTTCCTCCTTCAACGACAACAGCTGCAGCGCGCGGCCGCTGGCTGCCTGCTGCTGCAGCAGCAGGCCTGACTCCTGCAGCGGCAGGGAGAAGCACTGCAGCTGCTCTTGCTGCGCAGCAGCAGCAGCTGCTGCTGCAGCTGCAGCTGCAGTTGTGTCCCGTACGCCCCCTTCAGTCTGCTGCTGCTGCTGCTGCTGCCTTGCACAGGAAGCCAACAGCAACTCGTGCTGCAACAGCAACCTTTGCTGCTGCCGCAGCAACGCCTCGCTGTTGCTGGGGTCTTCTACTGGCTCCCCGCTGCTGCTGCTGCTGCTGCTGCTGCTGCTGTTCGTCTCCAGCAGCTGCTGCGCACCCAGCAACAACGGCTGGGTAGGTAATCCGGAAGCAGCTGCAGCAGATCCTGGTACTGCTGCTGCTGCTGAATCGACGAGCTGCTGCTGTTGCTGCTGCTGCTGCTGNTTCAGCTGCAGTAGCATCTGCTGCTGCACTCCTACGTCTGGTAGCAGCAGCAGCTTCGGGTCATAATCGGTGAATGCAGCATTTGAATTTGCTGCTGCAGCGGCAGCAGCTGCTGCTGCAGCTGCCTCGGAGTGCGCAGCCAGCTGCAGCAACTGCTGCTGCTGCTGCTGTTGCTGCTGCTGCAAACAAAACTCCTCTGCTCTTCTCTGAGCATCTTCATGGCCGTATTTCCTAACACTGAATCTCCGTACCACCTGCAGCAACAAACCCCACAAAACACAATACTGTTGCTGGTGCTAATTCTGCTGCTGGTGCTAATTCTGATGCTGCTGTTTTTGCTCTTGCTGCTGCTGCTGCTGCTGCTGCACCTGTTTGCCTGTGGCTTTGTCTGTGACGACGCCTCGCCAGCAGCCACGCGTTGACTCGAAGACAACTCCTTTCACTCCGCTATGCAGCCGTTGCTGCTGCTGCTGCCTAGATGTTGCTGCAGCAGCAGCTGCTGCTGCAGGCTCAGAATCCGCGCGCAGCAGGCCCCCGCACTGCTGCTGCTGCTGCTGGAGTTGGGCCGTCAGTTCGGAGTCAGAAGCTGTCGCTGCTGCAGCGCAAACGGCCAAGACGCAACAGCAGCAGCAGCAANCGTCAGTTCGGAGTCAGAAGCTGTCGCTGCTGCAGCGCAAACGGCCAAGACGCAACAGCAGCAGCAGCAAACTCGCACGTAAGCATACGTCTACTATATATATAGTAGTATTGTTATTGTTTATTGGGGTTTACTATTGCTTGCTAGGGTTTACTAGGGTTTAGTACTATCTAGTAGGGTTCGTTAGGGCTTTTCGTCTACGGTTGTTAACTAGGGTTTAGGGTTTATTAGGGTGTACGGTGTCGGGTCAAGTAGGGTTTACGGCTTTGGGATTATTAGGGTTTAGGATACACTAGGTCTCGAGTTTATTAGGGTTTAGAGTTTACTACGGTTTAGGGTGTAGATGAGGGCTTGTGGTTTACGTTTTATTAAGGCATAGGGTTAGAGTTCATTGTATTTTTGGGGTCTAGGGTTTATTAGGGTTTAGATTAGGGTTTAGGGTCTAGGGGTTATCACCGAGTTGAATTTGTTTGCCGAGTGTTTCGGCCAACGCCTTGGCCTGCAAAAAGCCAAACGACTCCACCCCGAAACCCCGAGAAAACTCCCGGCCTGCACACAAACCCTAACCCTAAACCCTAAAAATCCTAAACCCTAATAAACCCAAACCACAATAAACCATAAACCCTAATAAACCATAAACCCTAATAAACGCTACATCCTGATAAACCCTAAACCCTAAACAAACCCTAATCCCTACGCCCTAAACCCCTATAAACCCTAAACTCTACATAGCCATGAGCTGTAAACCCGGCTTGGCCGTAAACCCTAAACCCTAATAAACCCTCCACCCTCCACCCTAATTAACCCTCAAGACCCTCACAAATCCTAGGAGACCCTGGCACAAAACCCTAAACCCTAATGAGCCGTGCCAAGCCCCAATAACCCCCCAAAAACCCTATTAAACCCTCACGGTGAACCTCGATGAACTCCGATAAACTCTCACAAACATTAAACCCTAGTAAACCCAAATAAACCCTCAAACGGCATAATAAACTCTAACAAATGCATACACGCCCCAATAAACCCTCAAAAACTCTAGGAAACCTTCTAAACCCTAAACCCTAAACCCTCACCTGTCTCTGCGTCTTTCCAGCGGACGCTCCACTGGGATGAGCGGCCGGCCTCTCGGAAGGAGACCCCA